AGGAAAACATAGAACTACACACAAGCATTGATGCTAATACTCCAAAACCCCTTCTCATCAATGTTTGTCTTCATGTGACAAAATTCATCTTATTTCTCAGGAACTGAAATTGATCCCTAGGTAGAGGCTTGGTAAAAACATCTACAGACATCTTTTTAAATGTAGAAAATTCATGTAGTACTTCCATCCTTGCAACACAGGGAAAGCGTAGAGGTAGTACTCTTCTGTTTGTTCAAGATGAGCATCTGAACAGTGGTTCTGGAACCTTGTTTGCTTCATTAGTGATGTCCAGTTACAAACCTGGTTCTGCTTGCTCATTCTCCCCTTCTGTTTGTGTAGTCACTTCTTCCTCTTCAAATCTAGGCCAATATTCCAGTAGTTGGTCTATATCATGTGTCTCTGTCTTGTGCAATCTGTTGCTGCACATGTCATGCCTGGTTTCTCACTTTCATAAAAGTACACAACACTTCTCACTGTGATTTTTCCTGTTTTCAGGTTCAGAATTCTGTATCCTCTACTTCCAGCCTCATACCCCACCATTATGCCTTCTTCCACTTTGTCATCTGGTTTGGATCTTCTCTCTTATGGAACATGAGCATAAGCTAATGAATCAAAAATTCTGATATGGTCCACATTTGGCTTTCTGTTCTGCCATAGTTCAAATGAGGTTTTATTGGTTGCCTTCATTGGCAGTCTGTTTTGTAAATATGTTGCAGCCATCACAGCCTCTCCCCAATATTGGTTGGGAAGTCTATCATCAAGCAGCATGCACCTGACCACCTCTATCAGGGATCTGTTCTTTCTCTCAGCAATCCCATTCTGTTCATGCAAATAAGGAATGCAATGTCTATGTTCAGCTTCCTGTTCTCTCAAGTATGTCTGCACTTCATGTGAAAGATATTTGCCAGCATTATCCATTTGTATAGCCTCAGGCTGTTTTCCAAATCTGGTACTAACCATGGCTACATATTACTTCAGTAGCCCACAGACCTGATTCTTTTCTTTTAATAAGTATGTTACACAGTATCTGGAATAATCATCTATAAAGGTCAGCAAATAATGATTTCCAGCTCTAGGTACAGTTTGGGTTGGTCCACATAAGTCTGAATGAACTATCTGTAGAATCCTTGAAGTTTTATGCTCAGAGAATTTTGGGATGGAAGGTCTGGCACCTTTTCCCTTTATGCAATGCACACATCTCAAGATATCAAATTTACATTCTTGTAATTTCAGACCTTTAGTCAAATCATCTCTCTTCAAACTTCTTATCCTATTCATGTTAAAATGACCTAATGTTCTGTGCCATAAGTGAGAACAGTTTTTTTTTTTGCATTTTCACAGGACTTGCTCTCTAGTACAGTCCAGTACATAAACACAGTTCGCCATCATGAGTTATTGTACATGAATTTCCACTGAAATGTACATCATATCCTTTGCCAGTTATGATTGACACACTTAGTATGGTATCACTTAACCCTGGTACAAATAAAATATTCTTGGCTGTGATTAAATTTATGCCATTTTCTGTATTACATTTTAACAATACAGTGGGATGCATAATAAAGTGGGATTAATATAGGGATGCAGTGGCTCAAGTGGTTAAGACACTGAGTCTGTTGACTGCAAGATCAGCAGGTTGGCAGTTCGAGGCCCGGATGCTTCATGATGGGATGAGCTCCTGTCACTAGTCCCAGCTTCTGCCAACCTAGAAGTTTGAAAGCATGCAAATGCAAGTGGATAAATAGGTACCACTTCGGTGGGAAGGTAAACAGTGTTCTGTGCAATCATGCTGGCCACATAATCATAGTGTAGTCTCTGACAATGCTTGCTCTTTGGCTTAGTAATGGAGATGAGCAACACCTCCTATGGTCAGACACAACTTGACAACCTTGTCAATAGGTAATACCTTTACCTTTTTATCTTAACAAACAATCTCTTTCAAACATAGTTTGAAGAAATGCACCACTTGCACTTTTCACAACCTCATTGTGATCAATTGAACTCAAGAACTCAACAAATCTGAATTTCCTGCCATGTGTTTACTTGCTCCAGAATCAATAGGAATAACATCATTTGGTTTGTTCACAGTTGCTAGCAAACTCATATCATTGTCAATTGCCTTGAAATCATTTGCTCTCTGTTCCTGCCTTTGTTGGCTTGTAAACTGAGGAGAGTGAGAGCTACCATTGGCTGAATTTGGTGATTTCTGATTGGCTATACAGTCCCTTTGACCACAATGAAAATCTCTCTTTTTTGTTAGTGAGCCATTTGGTACTTCATATGCAAATGTCTACCTCTGCTGATTTCTGGCAGTGAAATTTGATCCAGACTGCAGATCTGCCTGAGAGAAGTTGCTCTCCCCCTTTCTTTGTAAACTTTGAATGTGATCTGCTTCTGACTTAAATCTACACACTACTCACCAAACATCAGATTTTCTTGCATTGATTGCTGCAAAGTTCCAATCCCAGAAATAAAAAGATGAAATTCTTGTGGAAAAGATCCCAATAGCATTGCTATTTTCTGTTGGTTATCTAGATTACCACCAGCTAGATAAAATTTATCTAGAGTGTTTTCATGGTTTGAATATGTTTCAAATAATTCCCACCACTGGGATACAGCAATGCAAACTGGTCTTTGTAGTAATCTGCTTGATGTTTAATGTCTGCTTTGCCATAGTATTTCTTTAAGATTTTAATAATATTCTTAGCATCGGTTTTATCTTTTACATGAACATATTGATCATCTCCCAAAGTCTGCAATAAAACATTTCACCTTTGCATGATTCTTTCCCCACATATGTCTCTCTCTCTCTTTCTCCTTCTGAATGTTCCATTTCCAGAATATATAGGATTCGTTCTTCAGCCATCTGATGTTTCATTTGTTGAAGCCAAATATTAAAATTGTCCTTAGTTAGCTTAGGTATCAGAGACCAGCCATAAGCCACATATGCTTGAGCCATCTCTGCCCACAACAAAAAAACCCAAAACCTCCTGGTTATGAAGTTTAGAAAAACAAAATGCACTGGGAACTCACTTGTGCCAAAATCCAAAATCTCTGGCTTCCAAAGCCACAGCCCCAAAAAATTATGTTGTGGAGACTATCTGGGCCATTGCCCATGAAAGCTGCCAAGAGTACTGATAGCAGCTTCTTGTGAGGGTTGAGAGCAAACAAAGGTCTTTTGCTAATGCAAAACAAGAAAGCAAAGGTCCATATTACTAATCCAAAGGTCCAGCCAGAGAATAGTCAAGCAGTCCAAAGGTCTTGGATTCCAGAGAAGCAGAGTGACAAGGCAATCCAAAGGTCAAGGGTTCCAGAAGTTCAAGGTAAGTCAGCAATCAGGCCAAGAAACAAGGAGAGACAGAGGCTTTCACTAGGAAGTTCAGATAATCTGTGGCACCGAGGCAGACCTTCTGCACCTGCTTAAATTACCAAGCTGCAGGAGATCAGGTGAGGCTGACTGTTCCGGCATTTTTCATAAAGTCTCCTCAAACAGCGAAGGCTCTCTTTTTCTGCCTGATGCTGACTGAAGGTAGGTATTGTCCCTTGATCCTCCTCCATGTTTGAAGGTTCTGCTGCTGGGAGGCTTGGCTGGGGAGCCTCCTGGGAGCCCACAGGCTCTGCTAGAGGTTCTGCTAAGCTGGCAAAGCAGAACTAGGTCCAGGCTGAGGCTCCACAGCTGCAGGCTCAGGTCCCAGAGGAGGTTCTGGCTTGTCCTCCTCATCCTCCTCATCCTCCTCTAGGCAGGGCATGACACCCATAATCTGTTAAATTGGTTAATTATGGTTACATCAGCTTAGCAGCAGCAACAACAACAAACATGTACTCCACAGGTATTTGGTAAAAACAACTAAATCTGAGCAGGACAGTTAAAGTGGCCTCAAACTGGATTATTTCTGGCAGTCTGTAAAGGACCTTACTTTATTGTTACATCTAGGTTCTACAAAAATAACTAATCAGTAGAGAAAACTATACTTTGGTACAGATGTCCCTGGATAGCTGACCTCTATGTGTGCAAGTAAGAAGAAAAACATCTTTAGGAACAAAGCTTGGTTTCTGTGTCCATGCTTGGTAAGAGCAGAGAGGAAAGTGTGCTAGCAGACAAAGAATCATATAACTTTATTACCCTCAGGAAAAGGAGGGGTATAGGAAGTGACCTCTTCACAAGCAACACTGACCAAATGACCATAGGGATATACATCAGTGTTCCTGTGTAGAGCATCCCCTTCTCAAAGAAAACATAGAATTATACACAAGCATTGATGCTAATACTCCAACAAAGATAGAGTTGTCCAAGCCATCGTATTCCCCATCACCAAGTATGTATGTGAAAGCTGGCCAGTGAAGTAGGTGGGCAGGAAGATTATTAACTCGTCTGAGATGTTATGCTGGAGAAGAATGTTGAGGATATTGTGGACAGCCAAATGGGCAAACAAATGGTTCCTTGAACAGGCCATACCTGAACACTCCTTGGAAACCAAGATAATCAAATTGACACTGTTGTACTTTAGCCACATCATGAGAAGGCACGACTTATTGGGAAAGACAATAATGCCAGGAAAGGCAGAGGCAGAAAGAGAGGAAGATGCCTTGAGTCCCCATAGTGGGAGAAAGGTGGGATAGAAATGAATAATAATAATAATAATAATAATAATAATAATAATAATAATAATAATGCATGCTAGATGGATAAACTCAATCAGAGAGGTCATGGGCATGGGTTTACAGGAACTAAGCAGAGCAGTGGAGGACATCTTGGAGATTTCTTATCCACAGGGTCACCATGATTGGAGGACAGTTAACAACAACAAAAGAGCCAATCAATTGTCACTAGAAACCAAAATGACCAAATGGCTGTCCTACTTTGGGCAGAACA